AATGATGAAATCACTTAGCTGGTGGATTGAATGAATTGTCCATCTGTGGAACTGAAGAGGTTTACCTACAATTCCCAGAAAAATCTTAAAACTTTTAGATTCCTTGTAGACTTACTTATCTCTCTTTGACATCTTTCCTCCCCTGCCCCAAAAAGAACCTGACTTCAGTTTTGTTTACTGGTTCCAGGAAACCCTTAAAGTTTTAGAAACTGCCTTATTTCCCTTTAAAAGCCCTTTGAAAGCAAACTTCCCCTTCCAGCTCCCTTCATTATCTATTCTCATTGTCTGTTCAAATCACTCAGACATTCCAAACAAATTCTCACCTGGTCCCTTTTCCAAACGGTCCACCTCCCCCATCTACTGGCTTTCCCATTGTTTTGCCTTCCTGGCCATTCCCACCCTTAATCCTAGCTAGGTGCCAGTGTTCCTTTCACCCCAGCTTGCTGGCCACTCCCATCCAGATCTCCCTAGACCCTTTCTCCTCTCACCCCAAAATGCTTGGCAACTCCTTAGACCCCTCCTCCTGTCACTCCAAGCTGCTTGGCCACTTCTTAGACCCCTCCTCCCTCAGTCTGTACTTAAGGTTCACCTTTCCCCCATTCTGATGCTGAGCTATTCTCAAACCTAGAAGCTGACACCCCTCATGCCCGCTCATTCTAATGGGCATCACGTGGCCTATCTACCCCAGCCCCAACTCAGACGCTGGGAATTTCTCATGCCCCTAGAGGATGAGACCCTATGCCCTCCTGTAAAGGGTGTCACCTGGCCTGACCACCTTAGCCCAAGCCCCCACTCAGACACTGAGCTTTCTAGACTGCCTCATGCCGCACCTGACCACCTTAAACCCCATTTTAGATCACTGATGTTTGGGTTCCTTTGGAGTTTGGCCTACATGCTATATTTTTAATAAACTTTTTCTCTGGCTGGAAGAAGATCTGAGTTGAATTCATTCAGGCAGATCTGCGCCACGATCTGGGCTTCTTCCCGCAATCTTGGGGTGCCTCTATGCATCTAAGAGCACCCCAAACCCCCCCCTTTCAGAACAACTCAGATATATTATACTCACTTGGTGGTCATTGGTACTTCAAGCATGAGGGACAAACAATAATCTGTGAGTACTAATAGCTGCCCCCTATGCACCCAACTGGCTATTTTGAGTTGGGCAGGGTTCCTCCTCCTCCTCCTTCTCCTCCTTCTCCTTCTCCTTCTGTCCTTCTGTCCACATGGTGAGTCAAACTCTACATGTGGATGCTCTGTCCAAAGGAATATAAGTTTTGATTGCTTATACTTTGAAAGAAATCTTGGGACTTTGGGACTAGAGTCTTTTTTTTCTCCCTATTTATTTATTCTATTATTATTTTTTCAAAAAGCTGGGACAAATAACTCTTTTGTCTCAGTAATTTCATTTGTGATTTATTGAAATATAGCTCTGAAAAAACAGGCTTTGAAAAAGCCCATTGTGATTCAAATGGAGCTACTTGACTTCTTTAAATCCAAATCACTCTGGCTTTCATTGATTGGCCAATAATAGGTCCCAGCCCACTTTTTGGGTTTTGATGACTCAGAGTGAGGGTAAATAGCAATTGTTTTCTGTTCCCACCTGAAACTGAGGGTCTTTCTTTCCCCAGATTGATTCTTTTGGGAAGGCAAACAGGTTATCTTTTTTTTTTTTTTTGTGAGGTAATCATGGTTAAGTGACTTGCCTAGGGTCACACAGGCCGGATTTGAACTCAGATCCTCCTGACTCCAAAGCTAGAGCTCTATCCACTGCACCACCTAGCTTCCCCCTTTTCTTACCTAGCCTTTAATCACTGAATGAGCAGTTTTGTCTGACAAACTGAGACCTGGAAAAGACCTTAGCTTAAAAAGGCCAAGGTCTTCCACTGTATCCTGGGTCATCGCCAGTCATTTTGACTTATGTTTTACCACTGGACCCCATGACTCTGGAGGAGAGAGTAAGGCTGATGACTTTGCATAGCCCTGCCTCACTTAAATCCGATGTACTTGCAACTCAAGAGTCAGCCTCCTGATGTCCTCGGTTCTCATCAGACAAACAGCATCAACAACAACTCCTTTAGTAAATCATAACTACAATCACCCCCTGCCTTTCTGGTGGGAAGGGAACAATTGCTGATTTGGGCTCCTGAACCTACTGCAGTGGCCCAAGGATCAATGACTTACATTACCTAATGGTAGATTATTATCATACGAGAAGGGAGCATTTGAGCTGAGCTTTGAAGGAAGCTTGGGATTCTACAGGAAGGGGGTGTGTTCCAGGTATGGAGGCTAGTCTGCAAAGGCTTGGCAAGAGGAGATGGAACATCAAATATAGGAAATAGCATGTGTGCCCATTGGCTGAAATATAGAGTGCATGAAGGAGAAAGTAAGGTACGTAAGAAAGATAGGATGAAGGAAGATTGTGAAAGGCTTTGCCAGCCAAATACCAGAGTTTGTATTTTATCCTAAAGTCGAAGAGGAGCTACTTTTTATGACCCAGTTGAAACTGTGTTTTGGGAATATCCCAGCTATGGAAGATGGACTAGAGAGGGAAGATAGTCAAAGAGACCAGTTAGAAGGCCATTACAATAGTCATGATGAGAAACAATGAGGGCCTGAACTGGGGTGGTGGCTGTGTAAAGTGGAGATAAGGGGACAGAGTTCCTTGAGATATCTTATTCATGTTGTTGTGACCCCATTTGGGGTTTTCTTGGCAAAGATGCTGGATGGTTTGCCGTTTCCTTCTCCAGCTCAATTGTACAGATGAAGAACTCAGGCAAACAGAGTTAAGTGACTTGCCCAGGGACACACAGCTACTAAGTGTCTGAGTCAAATTTGAATTCAGGAAGACTCATCTTCCTGACTCCAGCACTCTATCCACTGCACCATCTTTCTGTGCCTGCATTTTATCGATACACAGCATGATACAGGGGAGACAGTGTGGATTTGGAGTCAAGAAGACCTAAGTTTGAATCTTGGTTCTAATACTTATTAGCTGTGTGACCTCCAGCAAACCACTTTTCTCTAGTTAGTTTGCTCATATGAAAAACAAGGAGAGTTGAAGAACTTTTTCTCCAAAAGAGGTCAATTGATATTCAGAAGAATTGCAATAAAAAAACCATAGGAAAGATCGTTCCAAATCTCTATAAGAGAAATGCAAATTTAAACAACTTGATGAGATCAAAGATTTGAGTGTTTTGAGTACCTCAGTACTTAGTCACATAATCAATCAATCAATCAACAAGCTTTAAGAAGTATTTACTGGGTGCCAAGCACTATGTTAACATATCAGTTACTTTTTTGTGTTGTTCAGTTGTTCAGTTGTTCAGTTGTGTCCTACTCTTCTGACCCCATGGACTAGCATGTCAGGCCCTCCTATCCTCCACTATCTTTTGGAGTGTGTTCAAGTTCATGTTCATTGTTCCCATGATACTATCTATTTATTTCATCCTCTGTCATCCCCTTTTCTTTTTGTCTTCAATCTTTCTCAACATCAGGGTCTTTTTCAATGAGTCTTGTCTTCTTATTTGTGGTCAAAGTATTTAAGCTTCAGCTTCAGTATTTGACCGTCTAGTGAAAAGCCTGAATTAATTTCATTAAGCATTACAGGACAAAGCAAAACAGGTTCCTACCCTTAAAGAGTTTACATTCTAATAAGGGAGGCAACATATATAAATGTAGATTATTATAAGAAAATGTGTAGAGACCAGAAGAGGTAGGGACTGATTTTGGCTGGGGATTAGGGGTGATTTCATGGAGGTGACACTTCAGCTGGTGAATTTGGGGAATGGCAAAAAGCATAGTTTGACTGGAGTATAAGGTGAATAACTGGAGTAGATCTTACAGAAAACTTTGAAATTAATCTTTATATGACAATAATACCTGCAGGTTTATATAATTTAAAATTATTTTAATAAAAGTAAAATATTTGAGTTGCCCTTTCTAAAACTAGAAAGGCAAATTGGAACAAGATTGTCTGGGGTGGCAAAAGCTAAGGATTTTTAGACTTTTAAGCAAAGGGCAACATCTTAAGGTTTTTGGATAGGGATGTGGTTGCTAGACTGTTATTAGTACTGTATATAATGAGGAAGATACAATCAAGTATCATTATATAGATGAACTACAGCAGGGAGGGCCTAGAGGCTGGGTGCCCAGGCAGGAATTTACTTAGGATCTTAGATTTAGGGCTGAAAGTGATCTTAGAGGCCAAGGAGCCCAATGCCCTCATTTTACAAATAAGGAAACTGAGACACAGAGAGGTTGAATGACTTGATCAGGGTCACAGCTAGTTAGTGTCTGAGATGGGATTCCAAGCAGAGTGCTCTATCTCAATAGTGTAGGCATAAGTGCTTGGGACCTAACTACTGAGGAATGCAAAAGAGATTACTTATTGAGCCATTATTTTATTAAGGATTTAATGTGGGTTCCCAAGTTAGGGTTTTTAATCCCTACATAAAAGAAATAGTCCTTTAAAGATATAAAAATGGATTACTGCATTCTGATGCGGTGCAGTTTGATGTTCAGAGTCTGTTTAAATAGGCTTCATTAATTAGCCTGATTTTGTTAAGCAGACTTTGCTAAAAAACCAAACCAAACAATTTAGTTTGGTTTTTTTCTAAAGATTATCACAGACTCTAGATAGGGTACCTATCACAGAACTTTTTTTAAAAAATTATTTGGATAACTGTATTTCAATATAATTGATTTCTTTTGTAATCCTGTGTATTTTATTTTATGTATTTAAAAACATCATTTTGACGAGGGAGTCCATAGGCTTCACTAGATTGTCAAAGGGGTCTATACCCCCAAAGGCTTAAGAACCTGTTCTGGAAGAAACAGGAAAGGACGTAATTTCAACACCTTTTAAGGTAAGGGAGGGGTGGGCCTTTGCCTTGGACTAACTAGCCAATCAGGTGCTTCCACTGCTTCTTCAAGCCATTTCCGGGATCTCCCACCTTTTATTTTTTCTGCTGGTGGCCTGGTGAGTAGTTAGTTCTTAGGGGGGTCTTTTCAATCCGTTTTGAGCCTGGGTTTTGGGGAACCATCCACTCTTGCTTTCACTTCCTGATGCTAGCTGGAAGCAAGATTAGACCTTGGGAAGTCGTGAGAAAGCATGGGGGTGGTATGGAGTTTTAGCCTGGGAGGGGGAAAGCTGAGGCAGGCCTTGGGGCTGCTTCTTAGCCAGGGCTCTGCTGGCGGCGACCTGGAGGCTTCCAAGGGACAGAGAACTAACTGCACAGACAACATTTATGAACAGCTAGGGGCCTGGGATTGCTCGCTTTTTATGGCAGGTGCTGCATCAAGCTAATGTTGCCTATGTGCCAGAGGGCATGCAGATTTGAGCCTGAATCAGGATTCTGACCTTGCCCGCCTGGTCACCTTTTCCGGTTCCATCCATGTGACTGCAAGGTGGGTGAGGAGGAGGGCAGGGAATGCTTCTTTATTTAATTAACACTTTAAAATTTTATTTGATCGTTATTATAACCTTTGTGCTGCTAATAGTATTTGGGCAGGATTGGGGGAGACAGGGTTTCATTGTGCCTTGGAGATAAGAGGAACCCTTGGAAGGGTGTCTTTTGAAAACTCGAGTTGTGAACTACAATTTAGATCGCTAGCTTCTGTGCCCCAATACCTTGATTGGCACGAATGGGGTTGGCCTTAAATTTCATTTTATCCCAGCCACATTTTCTCTCTTAATCAGTTTGATTAGGAATGAGTATTGTGATTTTTATAAAAGACAGAATGGCTGAGAAACATTGACTAGATTCTTAATAAATGTCTCTTCATTGATTGATGTGAAATATCTGGTGATGTATGAGAAGTGTGATGGTTTCTGGGGTTTCTGTTAGCCATTCTAATTTTCTGGCCTGGACAGGGCTTTGTTTGGGTGTGTTAGCTTTTTCCTTAAAACTATTTCTGGTGGTTATTTTTCATAACAGTTTATGCTGTGAAAAGTGTAGATTTTGGGGGGTGTGGGGGGCGCATCCTGTGCTGACAGAAAATTAATAAACATCTTTAAAATATACCCTGGACTACATACAGAGTCAAACTGTACTGACAACCCTTAATACAGATCTTTTTGCCAACAGCTACTCTCTTTTAAATATGGGTCAGTTTATCTTGCGGTTAGTGCTTTTGATGAGGGTAAGAGAGGAATGAGAATACTGGGCTTTGTGCCTTTAAGAAGAAACCATGTGGCCTCTGACTTCTCTGGCAGGTCTGCAGGCAGTAATGCTACCTCCCGAGATCTTTTATATAAAAATTGTGGTAGTGGGTGAGTAAATAATTAAGTGGTTTTTTTTTAAGCATTTATTTGAGGTTGTAACTGAAGCTTAGGATGCTAAGAAGTGGAGAAATAGGCTATTTTTAAGAGGCCTTTTAAAATGGTGGTTGTCATTTTTTTACTGATAAAATGAGATTTGGTTGGTGATTAGTGTTCTCTTAGCAAACAGTTCCCTGCTCAGGTGGAGACTGGAATAGATCTTACAAAAATTGTTTTTCATTTTAAACTATCGACTTTATTTACTGCAGTAATCTACACATCTCTAGGCTGCATAGTGCTTATTACCTAATCTAGAATGGGAAACTAACAGGTGGGGAACACTTCTCATGTTTCACCCCTTTGTTAAAAAATTTTTCCTGATCAAAATCCCTCAGATGCACTTGATTTTAATTTTGTCTTCAGTTGAGAAACAGCATAGTCCCTGGGAAAGTTTTCTGCCATGATGAGCTGCATGTTCAGTCCGTGTTTCACATGATCACTGATTATACACATGCCCTGAGCAGAAACCATATTAAGATTTTAGAGGGTGAGCTGGAGAGGGGAAGGGCACCATTTTTTTTTTAAAATTTTTTTAGGCAATTGGGGTTAAGTGACTTGCACAGCTAGTAAGAGTCAAGTGTTTGGTCTAAGGCTGGATTTGAACTCAGGTCCTCCTGACTGTAGGGCCAGCGTTCTATCCACTGCAGAGCTACCCCTGGGGAAGGGCACCATTGACCATGTTATTCGTTTTTTTTTTTGTTTTGTTTTGTTTTTCAAAAATTACTAAAAAAAACCTCATAGATTAATTTTTCCGACTGCTTCTCATGTCCAGGTATAAATTTAAGTATGAAAGCCACAACTTTTTGTATATCTGCAAGAGAGGAGATAACAGTAAGCCATGCCCCTGATTTTTCCAGTTAGAATTGACTGGTATAGTTCAAATCCTGGCATTCAAGTTCATGTGACCAGTTCTGGATAACAATGGATAACCTTCTGCTTTTGAATTTTAGGTTGAAGATGGATTTGGCTTTTGGTGGAAAGTGGGCTAAATCCTTGACAAGGGAGGAGACATGGCTCTGTGGGCAAAGCTGGGAGGTAGAAGTCCAGCACCAGAAAATCAGAACTTCTTTGCCTCAGGCCCACCATGGACCAAGTTAACCAGGATTGACATTTCTGCATGGGGAGGGCTGAAAGGTAGCATGACTTCAAGTCTGATTGAGGTAAGTAGTAGGATTTGACTTAAGTAGATTTTTTTTTTTTACATTCCCTAATGGATTAACTTGTGTAAATGTTCACCTACCTAATAGGATAGTAAGCTCTTGGTAGCAGGGAATCATTTTGAAAACTTTTGTCCTAGTACTGGGACTCAGGAGATCATTGTTGAATTGAGTTTTAACTTTCTGCCTCAATTTCCTCAAAATGGGGATAATAACAGCACCTACCTTCCAGGGTTGTTGTGAGGATCAAAGGAGATAACTGTAGTGTTTAGCACAGTGTCTAGTATATGCTATATAAATGTTAGCTATTAATATTATTTCACACTGCTGACTCAGGTTGAGCTTTTAGTCCACTAAAAAATTCTCAGCTCTTTCTCAGAACAAGTGCTCACCATGTCTCTCCCATCTTGTATTTGTGCAATTATTTTTTATTTACCCAGGGATAAGACTTCACATTTATCCCTACAGAATTTCATCTTATTTGATTCAGTCCATTGGTCTAATCTGATGGGATCTTTTTATATCCTGATTCTTTTCTACAATGTTAGATCTCCTAAATTTTTGTTATCTTCAGGTTTGAATGAACATGCTGTATTAAATAGTGCAGATCTATTGGAGACTTACTGCCATGTTGAGGTGAACCATTTACTACTACCCACTGAGTCAAGCCAGCCAACCATTTGAGTCTATCTCATTATATTAATGTTTAGGTTATATACTCCTCTATCTTTTCCACAAGAAAAATGAGAGATAATATCTCCAAAAACTTGGCCAAAGCTAGGTAAACTATATAGCCTTTTCCTCATCTAATAAACCTGTCCAAAGAGGAAATCAATTTAGGCTGGCATGGTCAGCTCTTAATAAAATCATTCTGGCTTCCCTTTCTAGATGGTTACCAGCCATCTGTTCTTGAGTCAATCAATCATGCAAGCACTGTCTTAAGCTGGGGATAGATTTAAAAAGAGGCAAAAGACAGTTTCTGCCCTCAAGGAGCTAACAATATAATGGATGATCCATTCTAGAATTCCTCAGAAATTGAAGTGTCAAGTTCATTGTCTTATACTTTGCAGACTTACTATTTTCTTTTTTGAAAATCATCTTGTGGTACCTACCATTTTTTTCATGATCTTTCATCAATCAAATGGAGGTTCAGCAATCACATCTGACAGCAGTGCTTTCCCTTCTACTCAAACTATCTTCTATTTACCCATTACATGTGTACCTTACAGTTGGATATAAGCTCTTTGGCCCTGTGTGACGCTACATGCCTATAATTTCTGCTACCATGGAGGCCGAGCTCAGGAGTTCTGAGCTGTGGTGAGGCTAAAGCCAGTGAAGTGTCCATACTAGGTCCAGCACTAGTATGATGAGCCCCTGAGAATGGGGGCCACCAGGCTGACTAATGTGGGGTGAATTAGTAGAGGTCAGAAATGGGGTGGGTCAGATCTCCCACCCCCAGTGGGATCAGGACCACTCTCTCTGTACTTGCAGTTTGGCTGAGATAGGAGACAAACCTATATCTATACACCCACACACTCTTTTAGGGTACCTACTTGAGGAATTGTTTTTTCTTTTTATCTCCCATAGAATGTAGTCACAGTGGATTTAATAAAATTCTGGTCTGATATGTGAAGATGACAAAATTGAAAGACAATCCCCATATAAATTCCAACAATCAGCTTTTTTTTTTTAATCTTCAAGTTGGTTCATCACTTAAAGGGAAGAAAGTCTGCTGTCCAGTCTGTTTCACGTGATTTAGCTCCATGACACACATGACTTGGGAAGATCTCTATATTGTAGGACAAGGAAACCTTGCATGTTGCCATCTTGTGGCATAATTAAGAACTACATGGTACTATCTCATTTTGTCTATATAAATAGGGAAAGTTTTCAATTTATAGAGAGTGGCACTGCTTGACATATAGTAGGCATTTATTAAATGTTCTTCGGTAAAGCATCTTGGGTACGGATGACAGCAGCACTTGGATTAACAAAACTGAAAGAAACTATTAAAATCTTTGACTATTGAAAAGTAACTTACTTGAATACTGAATTTTACTGAATAAAAGTGGTTCATTGCTTGCTGGGTCTTATGGATATATATTAGTATTCCAAAGTGTGCTGTCTTTGCTCAGGCATATTAAACTTATACCTTTAGAATTTTTAGGTAACCTTACATTTGGCTCTTCATGGCCAATGAGTCATTATTGAACATTGACTCAAGTTAAAAAGCATGTCAAGAAAGTGGCTGAAATTTCTTTGAAACGATTTTTATGATTTAAAGGAGGGTGTGGTACAGTGCAGTTTAATGTAAATATATATCTATCAGTATAGTCTCATTTCCATATATGTGGTCTCATTTCCTAGACTCTTCAGAGAGCTGTGCACAGTTTTAATGTGCGTGACTGTAAGGCAGAAGCTGCACATAGTATCAGAGGTGAGTTAAAATGAAAAGTGTCTGCCTTTTACTTGGATCAGACATCCTGCGGCTCAGTGGGGAGGGGAGGTAGCACTCAGTTAAACTGTCTACATTATAAGCAGCGTGGGATTGTTTCACATTCTCCTGTCCTCCAGCCCTGGAGCTTTTCACACTTTGTTGCATTGAATGAGTAGATGATATATCTGGATGAGTGAGAAACATTTTTTTCCCATCTGAAGCTAGAGGCCTTATTTTGAGGTAGGTTTTCCAGTTCAAGGGACACCACTAGAAAAGCAATCATAGTTACTGGTCATACACATAATGTCTGCCATGATGAAATGCATTTTTCAGTCCGTGTTTCAGCTGATTACCCTGATTGCATGCATACTCTGAGCAGACTAGAGCCAGAAGTGAACATTTTAGAAAAGGTGGTTGGTTTTGTAATGCTTATTTCTGAGTTTGATATTTAGAAGGAATAAGTAAATGAAAGAAAAAGCATTAAGTACTTACGTGTTAGGCACCTTGCTAAATGCTGGGGAAACATATGACCTTGACAAACATCAATAATCATGAACCTTTTCATATTCATGTGATGGTGAGAAACCAAATCTTAGAAAAATATGTATTAAATTTAATGTGTTAAATGTTTCACTGACACTTTTTGGTCACTACTGTCACTCGCATATAAAAAATGAATACTACAATAGTCAAGCAAAACAAATCCATATGTTGCTCATGTCTGAAAATGTAAGACTTAATCTGCATGTTTATTCTGTTACCTCTGCCAAGAAGTGGAAGCTTATTTTGTCATCAGTTTTCTGTAGTCTCAAGTCACCATTTTGTCAATATTCTTTATTAATAGAGTAAGCGAACCCTTTGAGGGAAGGTGGGCTTGGCTAGTTTACCTCATTTATATTTTTGGAGGGGAATCAAGTTGGGATGCTATATATGAAGGTGGTCTCACATATTCTTAAAGGAAAATGATGAATCTTAGTACTAAGTAATTTTTTGTAGCTTTTGGCCTTTTCTTTTGCAGAGAAGACACTGAAGCTGTAGCCAAATTCACTTTGTCCACCTGGAGAGGTTAGTGGTAGAAGCCATGATTGAACAGCCTACTGACAGAAGCTTAGTTTCTCTTTATGGTAAGATTTTTGTTCACATTTAAAGAAAAACTATTCATTGAATGTTTTATCCTTGTAAGCTTAAATTGGATAGAGCCAAGAAGTTGGGTGGCACTGGATCTCAGAGGCCCCCTCACCTGCAGCAGAGCCAAGTCCTTGATGTTACATACTGATGCTAGTTTGGATGGCTTTTGGGAGAATTATTCTATCCAGGAAGTGATGGTCACAAAAACTTTGTTGGCAGTCATTAGTAAAAGACTTAATAGTAATGAAACTTGGTAGCCCATACACAAACTATACTTTTTAGTTTTGAAATGGACTGTCACTGAAAAGTTTAGGGTTTACGTGTGTATAACAAAATTTCAAGTATGAATGGACAACCACTGACCAATTGGATTGTTGCCTGCTGGAAATTGCACCATAGTTAAGTATGAAGTGAGTATACACTTAAAAACCAGGAAAAACCAGTATAGGTGCTGATACCCTATGTTGTAGACCTCATGATGCTAAAATTATGTTGATACCTATAGGAAGGATAACAGCTCTATATGAATTTCAGGGAGCTAATTTGTAATTGAACATAATGCAAGCTTTGGGACTGCTACCTGAAGGCATACCCTCCATATATGTGACTTTTATTATATCCTGCAATATAATCTTCACTTCAGTTTATTTCTGGAAGTTTGGCTATGAGGACAAATGCATGATGATGGAATATGTGAAATAATACAAGCAATAAAGTTATATTTGGCCTTTGAGGAATTATTACTGTTAAGACAGTGGCAGAAGTTAGAACTCTTCAATGGAGTCTCATACTGGACTGGCACTAAATCTATATATTGTATTACAAAAGTTGATGCTAACCTGTCAATTTTATGCTCTAGCCATGAAGGCATTTTGTGAAGACTTTTGACATTTGAGTCTTGAGAACTATTGAACTTGAACTACTGAAAGATAATCTTTTTTTTTTAGGGGGAGGGGGTTCATTTTTGATGACCTCAAATGGCAGCTGATGTTTATGTTAAATGTATAACATGTGCTTATTGTGTCCAGAGGAAAGTTTTGTCAGTTTGAGTGGCATACTTAGAAAATGTTAACACTGGCAAACCATTGGAGCTTTGCATGCATGCATTTTTCATTTTTTGAAGGAGACAGTTAAAAACACGAAGCATATACTAAGGGTAAGTTCCCATGGAACCGGAAAAATAAGAAATCAGAGAGCTAATTGACCAAAAAGATTCATGACTTACACCTAAAGTTTATTATAAAAGTATCTTTACTTTTTTTTTTTCATTTATAATGGTTTGTTTGGGAAGCAGAGTTGGGAGAGTAAAAGTGGGTCAAAACAAGAGGGTTTAAAGAAAATAGACATAGGCTGAATATAGATGATTAAAAGGGGCCAGGAACAAAAGAACAGATAGGTACCTTAAACTATTAATTTTTCTTTAGTTGACTGTTTCTTTAAAATCCTTGATGGAATAATCCTAACTTGGCAACAATCACCCCCCCATCCCCAACTTTTTTTTCAATTAAATTTTTTCTCTCTCCCACCTTCTCTTCATCATTGGAAAACAACAGAAACAACATTTGTGTTGTGTGTGTGTGTGTGTATGTATGTATACACACACACACACACACATACACACATTGCTAAGCAAAACAAATTTCTACATTGGCCATATCCAAAAAAAATCTATCCTCCACCCTGAGTCCATCACTGCTGTACAGAGGTGGCTAGCATGCATTGTCATTGGTCCTCTGGCATCGTGGTTGGTCATTGCCTTGATCAGAGTTGTTAAGTTTTTCAAAGTTGGCATTACAATATTGTTATTGTATTGTTCTCATTCCACTCTGTATCAGTTCACGTGAGTCCTCCCATATTTCTATAAAACCATTCCTTTCATTACCCTTTACAGCACAATTCCATTATAGTCATACTCTACAATTATTTAGCCACTTCCCAATTGATAAGTACTTCTTATTTTCCAGCTCTGCCCTTACAAAAAGTACTGCTGTAAATATTTCTGCATATGAGTCCCTTTCCTTCCTGATTTCCTTAAAGTACAGATCTACCAGTGGTACTATCCATCCCTTAATAATTTCCATAGCATGTTAATACTCATTATCTTCATATACTGTATTATAATTTGCTCAGCCATTTTTCAGTTGATGAGTACCCCTTTAGTTTCCAGTTCTTTGTCCGTACAAAAATTATTTTAAAAAAAAGTTATATTTAAGAGCTGTACATTATGGGTTTCCGTTCCTTAGTCTCTTTAGGGGCATAGATAGGACTGGAAGTAGTATTTATTGGGACAAAAGGTGCTTACAGTTTAGTGATTTTTGGGGAAGAATTCCAAATTGTTTTCCAGATAAAGTGGACCAATTTACAACTATCAACAGTGCATTAAATAGTGTGCCATTCAGATGGCGTGAATTAGAATCTCAGTTGCTTTACTTTGCTTTTCTGTCATAGTGATTTGGAGCATTTTTTTTTCCAATCTGGCTCTTGATAGCTTGGATTTCCTCAAACTGTCGGTTCATATCCTTTGACTGTTTTATACATTTTGACAATAGATCTTTATTTTTAAATCTCATTGTATTCTTAGGAAGGTAGTTTTGTTGAGATCCAGATGGCTGTTCCTCTCATTGCTTTGAGTTTTGGCAGTGGGATTTTAGGCCATCACAGATCAAAGCTGGTCTTTCTTCACTCAGGGCACCATTGGATGGATTGGCCATCTGTTAGTGCTTTCTGAAATTTGCGGGGCCAGACATTTATACCTGATCTAATAATATGGGATACTCCTTATAAATGAGGCAGTTGATCTTTTAAATAAAAGGTAACTCAGATATAAATCCTGAGGAAGAGGGCAAGGAACTAGATTGAATTGAACTTAGCAGTTAAAACTTAATTGTGGTGTAGCTTTGTATTATATTTATGTTAACTGAACTATGCACTTACGTGCATTTAATTATTTGAAAGATTGTTTTTTGATTTTGCAAATATTTTTTCCAGAATGAAGATGGATTTTCACCTACAGCTCTAAAAATAGAAACTGACCATTCTCCCCAGAACCACTTAGTACCCAAAATGGATGAATCAGCATAGAAACCTGAGAAAATCCTTAATATTTGCCTTTGACAATTAGCCCTGTAAATTAACAAGCAGTTTTAAAATAAATAGTATTTGAATAATTTTTTAATATTTTTCTTTATTAGATACTTTTAAATGGTACAACTGTGGCTGTAGCTTGTATTTTATAACTTAGAACTTGAAGAGTTCATTACAACTGCATGTCTAACCAGGAGAGTAGATAGAATGAAGTTCCCATAAGTAACTATTTTGTCACTGCCTAATTTGAGCATGGTGTTCCAAGATGGCTGAAATATTTACTTTGTGATATGTGTGTGTGTCAGTATGTGTACACATGTGTATGTAACAAAAGTTTAGTTTAGGAATTACTTTTTTTTTTTTCTTGGCAGTTGGGGTTAAGTGACTTGCCCAGGGTCACACAGCCAGTACATGTCAAGTGTTTGGTCTGAGGCCGGATTTGAACTCAGGTCCTTATGACTTCAGGGCCAGTGTTCTATCCACTGTGCCACCTAGCTGCCCTATAGGAATTATTTTCTATCCATGTGAGCGAGTTAGCTATTGGTGCATGAAAGATTTACTTAATGTTCACTAGGAAACTTTCCCATCTTAACATACATACTTAGCAGCCTTCCTGTATGTTTTATGTAAGATTAAGTAGCATAGAAGATTTTCAGAAGGCTATTCATTTGTCTTTGGTCCCTGTTGAACAAGGACAAATTTGGATATTCTCAAAAGTAAGTGTTGAAAATTAGGTTAAACTTGTCAATTGACATTTAGTATTCAACAAATTTTTTTAATGACCAAATTGCCTTTGTCAGAGTAATTTAGGGAGTTGGAAAATTTTAAAGACAATTTCAAATTAGTAAAAAGAATTACAACAAAGGATTTTTGCTTCCCCCAAAGTCCTGCTGGTGCTACTTTACAACACTTATAGTTAAATATTATGAGGGTCTTGGTTTGTATTGCTTGTCTCTTTCAATGCCCCCATGGCCATTCTTGTTTATTGTATTTATTTATAAAATAAAATTTTTAAAAGCCCTTCATGTTGCCAGTTGATCTCTACAAATATTTTTAACTGCTATATTTGAGAAAATGTGCACATGAGTGACATCACATGCTTACTGAAATTGAAGTAACTAACAGGTTGAACCTCTCCCTTTGCTGCAGCTGAAAGGTTCTACTCTCAGCTATATGGAAGATGGGACAAGAGAGACTAGAGACAGTTAAATTACAAGCTACTGCAATAGTCCAGGGCCTGAACTAGGATAGTTCCCATGAGAAGGAGATGATGAAAACTTTGTTGTGGAGGTAGAGTTGACAAATACCTGATTGAATATGAGGATAAGGGTGGCAAGGGAGAGTGAAAAATTGTTTTTGAACATGGGTGATATTGGTGGCCTCAAGAGAAAAGTCTGGAGGAGGGATGGATTTTTTTTTTTTTGAAAGGGCAGATGAGACGAATTCTGTTTTGGACATGTTGATTTTGAAGAATCACTTGGCCATCCAGGTAGAGATCTTCAGCAGGTGATTGGTGATGTAGGAATGGTGTTCAGGATATGTGGGCTAGATGTATAGATTTAGGAGTCATCTGAAGAAACAAATGAACTGATACATGAAATTACAAAGGTAGCTAATGTAGAAAAAGAACAGGACTCAGATCTAAGCTTTGGGATGAGGAGACATGGGATCAAGAGCACACGCAAAGGATAAAACTTTTTTTTTTTTTTTTTTAGGCAATTGGGGTTAAGTGACTTGCCCAAGGTCACACAGCTAGTAAGTGTTAAGTGTTTGATCAGAGGCCAGATTTGAACTCGGGGCCGGTGCTCTATCCACTGTGCCACCTAGCTGCCCCAAGGATAAAACTCTTGACACAAAGAACTACTTCCTCTTCAAAGACAGAACAAAGGAAGTAGGGTAAGCTGTAGAGGAGTTCTGAGTTACTTTTTGAAATAGTTTAATAAGTAGGATTGGAAGTTACTGCTGAGAGAGGGGATGTGGAGTGTCTTAAAGAACACTCAAGGAGAAGGTAGGTTTGGAACAACTGCTGAGGGATGTTTGATAAATTGGGAAAAGAAAATGACTTCTCTGAAGTGGTAGAGGTGACATCTCTGGAAGTTCACCTCCAGAGGCTGTTAAGAGGATGGCAAGGAGAATGGAAATCATGCCATTCAACGTTTGCAGGATCTCTAATCTACTTAACTCATCCAGAATCACCAGTCTCTACCTGCAAGGCCCATTGGCATATCAAACTGTGTCTGAAGCAGAATTATCTACCCTTACAAACAAAAACAGCTCTCAAAATTTCCTTTTGTTTTGTTTTGGCATCACCATCCTTCCATTCTTGTCACATCCAGGTTTACAAATTCCTAATCATCCTTAATTCACTATCTCATTCTCATAGCCACCATTTTAGTTCAGGTCCTTATCTTTGCTTGCCTGGAGTATTTGCAGTGTTTTCCTAACTGGTCTCCTTGCCTCTTTTTCTCTCCAAATAGCTGCCAAAATATCTTCCTAAAGTGCAAGTCTGACTATCCTGCAAGAAGTTTAAATAGTTCCTTATGGGAATACTAGGTAGTGAAGTGTATAGCATGCTGGGCCTGGAATCAGAAAGACTCGACTTCCTGGGTTCAAATTTGGCCTCAGAAACTTATTAGCTGTGTGAGGCAATCATTTGCCTCAATTTCCTTATCTGGAAAATGAGCTGGAGAAGGAATTGGCAAACCACTCCAGTGTCTAGTAAGATGTGACTGAACAAATTTACCATTTCAGGTTTATTTCAATAGTACAATAAAGAACAATTCAAGCATCTTATGGCTAAACTGGTCTATTTCTGTTCCTTAATTTGGCAATCCATCTCCTACCCCGATATCCTTGCACTGACACCTATACCTCAAATGCACACGCTTTTCACTTCCATTTCTTAAAATCATTAGTTTCGCTGAAAGATTGATGCAAGTATCATTTTTTGAAAGGATGCCTTTCTTGATCACTTTAGTTCTAAGTACATGCTATCTCCCTCATTAAATTATCTCATATTTACTTGTCTTTGTAAATGTGATGCTCCAAATAGATTATAAACTTCTTGAGCACATTTAGTCTTTGTACCCTCAGGGGCCTAGTGCAGAGCCTTGCTCTAGATACTAGATTAAGTAGATACTTAATGATTTAGTTGGATTGAGATTAGGGAACAAGAGCTGATTGATAGAGCTCTAAGAGACTACAGTTGTAACATTTTATGCTATCTCAAGATCTTTCATATAAATACCCTGTAAGCTTTACTCCCAAATATTTATCCCAAGGCCTCTTAAACTTGTTAACAAACTTAAAAATCAGCTTCTGATTGCATTCATGGTATATGAGACATCTGCTAAACCTGTTTTGTCATCTAAGTAACCCTAACTCACTTGGAAAAGTGTTTTTAAAGCCTTAACTATAACCACCTGCAAACTGACTCAAATGTTTTGGAAATCTTCATTTTAGTTTTTAAACCCATTATGTACATTGTTCAACCAGCTTATGTATTTGGTCATGGGAAGCTCCTGCTTTTGAATTTCCCATCAATTTTATATTTTACAAATGATACTACCAATTAAAAAAAAATTATCCATTAACTCATGAAGTGAGAAATTATCATGAAAGCACAAATACAACTCATCAGCAACGTGACATTCCATCTTCCATCCTCTGTTTTCCTTCAAGTCCCAGCTAAAATTCCCTTTTATAAGAAGGCATTCTTGCTTCCCCCTTAATAGCAGTGCCTTCCATCTATGATTATCTCTGATTTATTCTGTGTATATCTCTTGGTACTGCATTGTTTGCATGTTTTCTCATGCTTCTTGAGAGCAGAGGCTATTTTTTCAGCTGTCTTTGTACCCTGTGCTTAGCACAGTGCCCGGTACGTAGTTGTTCTGTGCTGTCGGACCCAGTTGAAGTTTTCTTGGCAAAGATGCTGGAGTGGTTTGCCATTTTTTCTCCAGCACATTTTACGGAAGAGAAACTCAAGCAAAAAGGGTTAAATGACTTGGCCAGGGTCACACAGCTAGTAAGCTTCTGAGGCTAGATTTGAACTCAGGAAGAGGAGTCTTCCTGACTCCAAGCCCAACACTATCCACTGCCACACCTAGCTGCCCCTAGTATACAGCAGTGCTTAATAAATGCTTGTAGATGACTTAGAAAAAAAATTGTGGCATATAATTAGGAGAATTTTACTAATCTAGTTACTGGAGTTTTGCTAGGTCTAGGTTTTAGTTTTGGCTGAGTCACTTCCTGGCTATTTGATTACCTTAAACAAATCACCCTAATATCCTTCCTCAACTATAAAATTAGAGGGTGATACTAGATAATCTCCAACGTCCCTTTCCAGATCTAAAATTCTATGTTGGGATGACTTGCTCTATAAACATGTTGCTACCCTTGGTAATAAGCCATATAAATAGTATTACATAAACTTGTCACTAGCATCAGTCATGGATACAAATAAGTACAGAACAATCTGTTACAGATTTTAGCAGGAAAAACAGGCTGTATAAAACGAAAATTCAAGGCAATATCTATACATATACTGCCTTGAATTTTTGAATATATATACATATCTCAAATGAGTGCTTCAGGATGTCAATACAAAGAACATCTATTATGCTTATACCTGAGATGCAAAAATAAACTAACCAAGTTAGGGTAATGTCACAGATAGTGAGATTTGGGCTAAATCTTGAAAGTCTGATTAGTATTTGGACAAATGGTGAGAGGGGATTACAGAAAAAGAATAAGAGTACAAACAAGAGTAAGCCATTCCGAAGACGACCACTTTGGCTGTAACACAAGGAGCTCTGCCTATTAGAAGTACATTAGTTTCACTGGGCATGTGATATCCGTCTCCACACATCTTCACGTTAAGTATGCACATAACTCACGGGAGTGGCGCACGCGCAGTACAGGACGTTTGGTCTGGGCTCGAGGGGCACGGGGCGCATGCGTAGCTTGTCAGGTGGGGGAGGGGGAGAAAAGGAAGAGACGGTCGTTGCGACTGAGGGTGCAGCGTAGGGCAGTGTGTTTTCCCGCGCTTTCTCTTACTGGCGGGCTCAAGTAAAGTCTTAATTTTTTCTTTTT